GGACTGAACTGCTATTGGGCTTCATCCTTATGGGATTTTGACCAAAGTTTGTCACAGACATTACATCAGGACACCAGGGAACTAGCTTAACTTGTTGAAATAGGGTTTAATATGTCTCCTTTAAAATGTTAGTTTTAAATTATATCCAAGACCACTGGACCCCCTCCCAGGCTTAATTTAATGTAAGTGGGGTAGGTGAACATCCATGTACATTAGCAACTAAATCTTCACCAGTACACAAAGTTTGTCTTCTGTGGAGCTACATTAGGAAGTAATTGTCTCACTGGGAGTGGAGGTGATTTAACAGCAGGTTGTATAAAGTGTTCAGCCTGTTTTTTCTCTCTGTACGGAGGTGGTGTCACTCAGTTCACACACACTGTGGCACCTTCACTCTCTGATCTAGTCGGTGCCATTTTTTAATAGAATACATCTCATGAAAACTATGTGACGATTTATTAACAAGTGCAAATAATGTCGCACGTGAAAATAATGTGAGAGCTGATGATGAAAGCGGCTTCGTACTGCGTGTCCTTATGAATAAAATGAATAAAAAAATGAATAACTCCTTTTTTTTCCCACCTCAGAAGGGAAACAATGTCATCTGTTGGGTTCGAGTGGTGAATACTGAGATCACGGTCGAATTCTGTTTAATTAACAAGCTTAAAATGACGAATGACAACAAACTAAATGTTGGTTCAGATGCTCCAATCAACAGTTGTCCTTGGCCATACTGGCTCGGATTGATTATTTTCAGAGTTTTCAGGTTTGATATCAGAAAAATGCTGTCATCTAACCTGAGGAATGATAAGAAACTGACTCCTGGAGAGGAGATGTTTGTGGTTCTTTGTGGTGATTATTTATCCCCGGCGGCTACACACAGACACAGATAACAAACTCCACCAGCCCACTCTGACAGCAGTTTACAGCCAAAAAAAAACTCTTGCCCTGTAGAAAATGGCTGACCTCTTCCCCCCCGATCCTCAGTCAGGAATCTGGATTATATTTCAACACTCAAGACCTCGTTTCATTCTGTTTCTGATAAGAAATCAAATCAAGTCATTTGCGGAATGCAGTTGGATTTAACATCCATCCATTATCGTTACCCCTTATTCCCTAATATGGTCATGGGGGGGCGGAGCCTATCCCAGTAGCCAATGGGGAGAGGCGGGGTCCCCCTGGACGGTCCCCAGTCCATCACAGGGACACACAGAGACACACAAGGACCAACAACCACACACACTCACACTAAGGGCAGTTTGGAGTCCAACAACCTAACATGCAGGTTTTTGGAGGGTGGGAGGAAGCCGGAGAACCCGGAGAGAACCCACAGACACAGGAGAACATGCAGAACCACCCAGAAAGGTCCTGGTTCCCCCGGGACTCCAACCCAGAACCCTCTGGTCCTGGGGACTCCAACCCAGAACCCTCTGGTCCTGGTTCCCCCGGGGACTCCAACCCAGAACCCTCTGGTCCTGGTTCCCCCGGGACTCCAACCCAGAACCCACTTCCTGGGAGGGGATGGTGCCAACCACCTAGGGATGGGACGGTTTCTGAAAACCGTCTGAACCGTTGGGTTCTGTCTCGGTTCGGTTCGCGTGTGTTGCGTTCGGTTCATGCTGCTCCTTTTTCTCAGAGGGAAGCGTTTACACTCCAGAGCAGAAGGGGGCGCTACTGCGCCCAAAGCCAGCCACCAGTAGGAAACAGGAAGAAGCAAAGCAGCGTAGCCCATAAAAATCAGACCAGCAGCAGTTTCTAGTTCTGCTGTATGGACCACTTTGCATTTAGAGGGAAGCACATGTTGGAATTAGCACTGTTTCCTCTCTGCCAGAATCTCACCTACTTTTAACCTAAGACTGTCACAATAATGTATCAACAAGACATAATAGATTTTCCTAACAATCAACATATACCGAACCGAACCGAAAACCGTGACCACGAAACCGTGAATCGAACCGAACCGTGGATTTTGTGAACCGTCCCACCCCTATAACCACCACACCACTGTGTCACCCCGAGCCCGTTGGATTTAACAGAGAGAGTCAATTTTATTTGATTTTTTTAAGAGAGAGAAACACAGGCAGAAGATATTCAAATCGCAAACACAGCAAAGGGAAGGCGACAGGCGTCACGGGGAGAATGAGAGTGATCGGTTTTGAGGCTATCGGTGTGAGACTGACACAGTGGAGCTCAGACATCCCCACAAACAGATCCCATCAGCCATATCCTCCTGAGACCCAAAGAAAAAAAGTGTCTTTAAATTTATTTTTTGTTGTGATTTTCCATGTATTTGGACCTAAAAAAGAACATTACAATTTAATTTGTTTTTAAAATATTTTTAATTTTAATTTCATAGCATGTCCACTGTGGAGGACAACAGGACGATTTGCATGGGAAAATAGAACAGGCTTTAAATAATTAAATAATAAAAAAGAAGATGTCTTGAAAGGGATATTTCCCTAAGAACTCTTAGGAAAAAAGTAAAGTTCCCAGCATGCAAACCTATCACATGGCACATCACTGGAAAGCCCAGGATGTGCTCTACAGAACACTATAGGGCTTGATAGGGTAACCCCAGATACTTAGGGGGGGTACAGGTGGACAAAATGTCCACTATAATGGACATAAATGAATGGGCCGGGTCTCAGGAGGATATAGAGCAGGGGTGTCAAACTCAATTGTACAACGGGCCAAAATTCAAAACACACTTTATGTCGCGGGCCGAACAGGATAAACATTTATTTAACACACTAAAACCAAATGTTTTTGGAACATAAATATGAATAAAAACAAACAGGAATATTATTATGAAACAAACTTAAACCTTAAATTACTTCTATTTAATTTTTTGCCCTTCATAAAAATATCTTTCAAATTCCTTTGCTCCTTTGTCAATGTATATATAAAAAAAAAAAAAACTTAAATATGAGACACACGGGTTTACCGGCAATGTCACTAAGCATATACTCAGCTTCCCATCGGTTATTAAAGGCTCTGTTTTCAGAATCAACTTTTCTCTTTGGCATCGTGAGGGGTATCTTCGGCTAATGGCTATCTTCGTAATATCTTGTAATAGCTAGACTTAATTGACGCGAGAAGTACGCGGCAAGGCAGCTGAAGCGTTGCATTATGGGATCTGTAGTTCTGTGCAGTATTGTGTTATCAGCGCTTCATATCGATGAGCCATGAATAACGATAATGTAAAAGGATCTTGCGGGCCAGATATGATTACAAGGCGGGCCGGATGTGGCCCGCGGGCCGTGAGTTTGACACATGTGATATAGAGGGTCTGTGATGGCCTGTGAAGTGTCGTTGCTCAGAGGGGGGGGGGGCGATAGAGGTAGGTGAACATCACAACAGCAACACTGTGATTAAAGTCTGAGCACAATGCGAGCTCCCCGGATACGCCACGGCTTAACTCAGAAAACAAAGCTGAGCACACCCACTCGGAAATACAGT